TGGCAGGAGAAAAACTGTTTTGGGGCTTTGGGTTCGATAATTTCCCCTGATATCTCCTACCACTTTTTTGTTCCACACTAGCTCCAACTGCACCAAGAAAACAAAATCTCAGTTGCTTTTAATTCCCTTAAGCATCAACCAACAAACAATGTATGTGTTTGGATGAATAGCAGACCAGGAGGCGTTTTCGTGAGAGCAGGCTTAGCGCGCAGAGATGGTGGAATATAAAAGCAACCCTGGAAAAAAAAAAATAATCAAATCAGAGATATATCTTCACCACATTGAAAAGTGAATAGGTTTAATATGATATGTAATACTTTAATCAAAGTTTCACCTGGAAGAAAGGATGTTGAAGGGACTCCATGGCTGTTGGCCTCTTGCAAGGATCCCATGAACACAATGACTATATTAGCCACACATAGAAGAAAAAGAAAAAGAACTTGATAAGTTTTCACAGAAAGAAAAGTTATATTAAGACCCACAGAATCTAGTCTTAAAATTTATGTAAAACCTGGATTTAGACGGAAGAAAAATGCTTACGAAGAATATCAAAGTAGAGCATCAAAACTTTAACCAAACTTACTGAGATGAGATTAACTGCGTCCTCACTGACACCTGGCATCAATGCAGAAAGATGAACCCTAGCAGGCTGCTAACCAAGACGACAGAAAGGACACGGTTGTGAACTATTAGCCAAAAAAGAAAAACAGAAAACAAAAACAAAAACCTAATGGCCAATTGTTCATCAAAGAGTGATGCCCAAAGATATGGAAGGTGATTCCAGGAAATGTTTGCATTGTTGAAGTTGTTTATCGTTATTAATACAAACAAGAGTTGATCAACCTTAAAAAGGAAAATGAGTCAACCTTAAAAATGAATAATACATATATATATAGAAGGAGAGAGAGAGAGAGATTATACATTACAGATCGACTCATTTTCTTGCCATTCTACTCATGGTGTAAAGTAGACAAAAAATTGAAATACAAGAATGAACCATATCTAAAAGGGCTCAATACAAAATATAACAATATCTCATTTCTATATTTATCAGAAGTAAATAAGTCACGTACTTGAGGAAATTGATAGTTGATAGCACTAGCAAGTTCAAGCCCCTGAGGCCATTCAGTGTTGGTTGGACTACCAATTACACAGCATATCTTGTAAATCTCATCTGCCTCACTGCACCGCAATTTACAGAGCATATCAAGCACTTTGTGCTGCTATATTGTAAAAAACAACTCATTTTTTCAACATTCAAAGGATACAGAATGATGACAGTCTAGAAAGCCAAGGCTACTACAAAGCCAAGGCTACTACAAAAGGACGTGTGTTAACAATCAACACCTATAATTTGAGCCAATATGGCAAATGCCAATGGACATAACAAACAAGGCAGGTAATATTTAGGCGAAAATCACCCATCATCAAAATCCAGTTCAACAAAGGCAAGAAATATAGAATCTTATCAAGGATGCTAGTAATACCTTGACCCAGGAAATAAAGGATGAAGAGTGAATAACTCGGCCATTATTGCACCCATTGCCCACATATCTGCAGGAATAAACTATTAACATCTCTAAGGCGAAAAAAAAAACACC